TACACCACCCTCACAGATGGAAGCCCATAAGGTAAAAAGTGACTATATATATTTATATCCCAAAAGGAGTCATGTGCAAATCCAGACTACTCAAACATGCTGGCGCACTGTCTGATGGTTTCTACCTCCTGGTCTCCGTTTCTTTCTTCCTTCCGACTGCAACTCACTCCCCCCCACCCCCCCACTTGCTCACCCTCCAAGGACCTGAGCTCACGGCTCCCTTCTCCATAGTGTCTTCTTGAATGACCCCAGCTCGAAGAAGGTGGATTTAAGATGGGTAGAGGAAATCCATGTGTGAAATAATAAGGTCATTCCTGGAGATGTGCTAACATTACTTACTGAATGTGTGAACTTGGGACAAATCCCTTCATCTCCAGAGGGCAATTTTTCTCATCTTTAAGATGGAAATCATAGCACGGGTATCAAAGATTTCCCGCAAGGATCAAATGATGTCATGTATGTCATGTATGACACATGGCTTGGTTTATGGATTTATGACCTGGCAGAAATTCTTGGCAGAGAAAAGAGAATTATTAAAGGGGTTTAAGCATTCTGTTTAATCAGGGCAGAGCCCAAGTGGGCCAGTCTAATTGAAGCTTCTTTCTTTCAACATATGCATGCCAAGCACCTGAAGTTCAAAATGATGACTGATCCCTTGAAGTAAGACCCAGCAACATCAAGTGCTTTTAAGAAATAAGAACTCAGACGGTGCTTTGGAATTGGTTATAAAAGGTTTTAATGTATGCAATAAAATGTGATTCCTGTGACGGGTAGCAGGCAAAAAAGTTTTAAAAATACATTTATCCCTGGATTAAAATGGTGGCTGCCCTTTTACTCCTGGATGAGTAGTTTGATATTTCCAATGGCCCAGTATCTTCTCTGGTTAGCACCTGAGATGATGCTCTCTCTCACGGAGGATTTATAGAGGCTCCAGCAAGATTGCGTCCATGAAAGTTCCTGATACAGGCCTTGGCACAGTGGTGCTGAGTAAGTCTTGAGCATAACTCTAACTGCTCTAAGCACAGCTTGGAGTGTGATATATGGTCTGATAGAAAAGTGATGGAAAAGTGATACATGGCCTCTGGCAACGAGTGCCCCATTTTGTGTTCAGAGAAGAAGCCATTAGAATATTAAAACTGGTGGTGGTGGAGGGATTTATATCTCTTCCGCTGATGACGGTATTATTGAAATGCATGAGTCTTTTATTAAAGAAACACCAGAAGCGACATCTTGTATTTGTATAAATCAGAGTGCGCCGGTTATTGGCGCATGGGGAGTTCGCGCGCAAATGTGTTCCATTCTGTGGACACGGAGCTTGATTGTGAATGCTGTGGCCGCGGTGGCTGCCTCTAATTGTTTCACTGTGCCTGTTGTTGCTCCTGCCACTGTCATTAATTTATGAAGCAACATTCAACATTTTAAAGATGTTTTATTAAAAATCCGAGTTTCTGTCTTCCCTTGAAAACCCAAAAGATCTAGCAATACACAGTCAACCTTTCTGCACAGTGGTAATTAGCAACTGCTAAGGAGCAGCTGTCTCCTCTAGACAAGGCCAGAAGCTTCCATGCTGCCTCAGTCTCCCTCACACAGATGCATGAGCCTATGAGCTAATTTGTGATTGTGCTTCCCCCATGGGTTTCACAATGGTAGTAGACTGCCTCCGTGGCATGAGTTGTCGCTCCCCCGGGAAACAGAGTGAGGGGCTGGGAGCCTCTGGTCACAACGTGCTTGTCAACTGATTAATACATAACCTTGTTTTTGGCGTGTTTCTGTTTAAGACAGTGCTATCTATCAATACATCGATCATCTATCATCTATCTCTTAATCTATCATCTGTTTATTATCTATTTTCCTATCTACCATCTATCACCTATCATCTATCTATCTAGTTTTCTATCATCTATCATCTATTTTCCTATCATCTGTCATCTATCATCTATTTTCCTATCATTTATCTATCTATAATCTATCATCTATCTATTTTCCTGTCTGTCATCATCTATCATGTATCTATCATGTATCTATTTTCCTATCATCTATCATCTATTTTCCTATCATCTATCTATCTATCTATCTATCTATCATCTATCTATTATCATCATCATCATCATCATCTCTCTATTTATCTTTGATCCACTAACAATGAACTGATGGCCAGTGGCACTATACCTTAGTTCTGAGGTCAGCTTGTCTAATGCATTATCACCTCTGTAAGGCTCTCCACAGCCTTCCTGCATTTAGGGACACCAGACAGTGCATCAACTCTACATGAGGGGCCATTTTAAATAGCAGAGTCATCCACAAAAGGCACAAAAATATATATTTAAAAAGTAGCACTAAATACGCTGCAGAGGACATGTGTTGATGGCATGAGAACTGAAACAGAAGGTGGTATTGTGTTGTTGGACCTCAAGTGGAAACAGGTGCAAGAGGTGAGTCAGACTTTACACCTGTGGGAGCATATGTCTGAGTGACCACGGAGCCCCTGAATATCATGTGAGGTTGTAGGAGAATCTACATGTACAGAATCTGCAAATGATGGTCAGCTGTGTGTGATTTGCACGTTTTCTCTCACCATGTGGCTTGTCTTATAATTCTCTAAGTGGCATGAACTGCAGGACAAAAGTGGTCAGCTTTTCTTTTTTATCAATTTTTTTATGCGTGTGGATCATGCTTTTGCTGTTGGTTAAGAACTCATTGCTTATCCCTAGACTTTAAAGCTTTCTTTTGTTTTTCTTCCTGAAGGTTTAATAGTTTTACATTTTGCACATAAGTTTATGATCCACTTTGAATTAGTTTTTGTAGAATGTTTAGATTTAGGTGAGATTTAAGTTGAGCTCTTTGTTTGGTTTTGGTTATGGTTTTGCCTGTGAATGTTCCGTTGCTTCAGGACCATTGATTCTTTTTTTTTTAATTTTTATTTATTTATGATAGTCACAGAGAGCGAGAGAGAGAGGGGCAGAGACACAGGCAGAGGGAGAAGCGGGCTCCATGCACCGGGAGCCCGATGTGGGATTCGATCCCGGGTCTCCAGGATCACGCCCTGGGCCAAAGGCAGGTGCCAAACTGCTGCGCCACCCAGGGATCCCCAGGACCATTGATTGAGAAGGCTACCTTTTTTTCCATTGAATTGCTTTTGAACTTTGTCAGAAATCATTTGAGCATACTTTTGGTTTTTTAAAAATATTTTATTTATTTATTCATGAGAGACACAGAGAGAGGCAGAGACACAGGCAGGGGGAGAAGCAGGCTCCATGCAGGGAGCCTGACGTGGGACTCGATCCTGGGTCTCCAGGATCAGGCCCTGGGCTGAACGCGGCGCTAAACTGCTGAGCCACCAGGGCTGTCCCATTTGAGCATATTTGTGCCCTTGTTACTGTTGGGTGGGAGTAGAAACTCAGGCCCCCCACATAGTCTGTACTTTACAAAGCTAGGGTTCTCATTACTATCCATAGCAGTGAAAATTTGGCTCCCTACTAGAAGACCTCTTGACAGGTGGGGAAGGTGCCTCATTAAAGCTTGGCAGTGGAGGACATCTAGGCTCCCACTTGGCCTTTGCTGGTATGGGTAGAGGTGAGGCCACAATTTTGTGTGTAATATGGCTGGAGTACAACCACTATTCTCTAAAAGTTTTTTATCTTGCTTGGCTGCTCCTTTTCTGGTCCTTTTCTAGGGAAAGTAGGCATTTTTGTTTGGGTTTTTTTTTTTTTGTCTACAGCCATTAGGATTTTTGGTTTGTTGGCTTTTCTCTGGGATATAGGAAGCAAAAAGAAAATAAAGAAAACTCACTGCCGTATCTTTTTTTGGACCTTGAGGTCCTTGGACTGTTTGCTTTCTTCTTCATCTGTAAAAATATTTTGTTATATATATATATACATTATACATTATATATATATATAATGTTTTAGTTGTATGTGGTGGGAAGAATAGGGAAAAGTATGTGTATGCCATCTTTCTTAGAAGCAGATGTCATGGGAGGTATTTTTTTTAAATCATCATTTTATAGATACAGAAAAAAGTTCAGAAACAAGTTTAGAGAAATTGTGAGTATTCAAAATCACACAGCTCACAAATTATGTCACCCAAACTCCAGCTATGAATCTAGCACCCTTGCTCTTTGCTCTCCATCTCCTGCTTATCACGCACACATGTACCACAAACACGAGCATGTCCACAGAACCTTCTATGAGTATATCACAGTGCGGTGTCACCTCCAGTCATAAGCTCAATGAGCCATTGGAGACTGATGTGTTCATGGTTCATTTTACCTCTATTTCACTTTGTTTTATTCACATTCCATTTCACAATGGGCTTGAAATCGGTAGAAGAGAGGAGCAGTCGTGATGCCAGAAATGTTCCTGTGCGCTTGCAAGCAAAAGGGCCATTAATTGCAAGCAGGGAAATGGAGAAGATGCTTCTGCACCTGGGGCAGAAATGGGCAGATAGGAGGGTTACTGATAGGGTGGGAACCTGCACAAGGTCCTGAAATGATGGAATTTTGAAATGGGAGTGACAGATTATAAATAAGGGCACGGGAATACACTGGAAAAAGTGGTTGGCAGTACCCTCAGGATTGGCATCCCAGCTGCTGTGTTTCTAAAGGAAGAAATTGTCTGTGTTGCCACATGACAGCAACTCAATTTATGTACGGATTTTACACTATGCGTTAAAGCTTCCATTTTCCTGTAGAAGACTTTTCTGACCAAAGGAAAGCCATTCCCATTAATGTGCCTGTGCCATATGGCCAACCCCACTATCCCATTCCCTCTCCCCATTACCACCAACCTTGTATGATCTCACTTCAACTCAACTTCCTGTCTCCATCTTGGTTCCATCCTATTCCTCTCCCACTGTCCCTCCTTGATGCCAAATGATCGTGCAGGCTGCCTGCAGACTTCCATGGTTCTCTATGGCCTTTAGTATTAAGTGTAGGTACTTTTAGGAGAAGCCTCCAGTGAGGAGTCTGATCTTCATCAGCCTGTCCTCTGTTCTTTCCTTAGGTATTACCAGATCCGAGTGACCTTGAAGGTGTCCTCAAGGATCCCCCACAGACTGAGCGCCTCCATTGCTGGGCAGACAGGTGAGCAGGGGGATGGCAGGGGGGCATTTGCTGTTCACTGGTAAGCCGTCACTTATCACTACCTGCCAGTGAAGAGCAGAGTGCAACAAAGATGGGGACATTCAGTAAATCATGTTGGATGTTGGATGACTGAATTTTGGAAGGGGACACCCACTGTTGGTGTAGCCATCTGTGAACAGTGTTGCAAGGGGAGCCTGGTTGAAGGAGAACACACTCTCCCAGGGGTAAACCTGGCTGGCAAGGGTTGGCTACAGCCAAGTCAGGGAGGAAGAGGTTGGCAAATGGCATCCTATTGTCAATGCTGATAATCAGCTAGTTATAGAGGACTGAATAAGTTGGCCATTGTGGCAGTTCTTCCTTCCACGAGGAGTCAAAATCATCACTCCCAGCTTGGGGAGAATTATTGCCAAGGACAGCCTAGGTTCTGACTTGGAGGTGCCTGGGTATTAGTGGGCATCCAGGGCTCTCAGCAGGTGCTTGTGTGATAAAGTGTTGTTGAGTCCAAAATACAGAATTTATTACATTAAGAAGTAAGGATAGGCACCAAGAGGGAATACTTACATTAGTACATTTGGGGGAATGTGTTGGTACCTTAGGATGGAGATGGCACCTGGGTAGCTCAGTTGGTAAAGCATCTGCCTTGGGCTCAGGTCATGATCTCAGGGTCCTGGGATCCCGCTCCGTGGTGGGCTTCCTGCAGCGGGGATTCTGCTTCTCTCCCTCTTTCCTTCCCCACTACTCATTTTTTCCCCTCTGTCTCAAATAATAAATAAAATCTTAAAAAAAAAACCCATAAGGATGGAAGAGAGAGAGAGAATAAGGAATTAAAAAGAAAGAACTATGGAAAATCTACTTAACTTTAAAGACACAAATAGAGGTAGTAAAGATTATTATAGACATTAAGTCCAATAGAGTCAAAAGCTCAGGTCATAGCTGCCATTCAAAGATTCCTTTTGGAGTTTCCCTGGCAATTGGGCCATTTCATTATTGGCAGAGGTATTCTGGTGAACGGAATCCCGTGTGATGAAATACCCGCAGACTGGGAGTGTAGACGCAGTGGTTAACTTAGCTCTCCCTGGAGGAGGTGTGAGAGGCATGGGGCAGAGCAGCGGACTCGGTCCACACAGCAAGAATCCAGAACTGCTGGTGGTGTATGGGCAGCGGGTTGTCCAGAGCCTGTGGTCTAGAAATAGAAAGATACTGGAGATCACTTGCTCCTCCTCTGACTCTGGGTGGAGGGAAGTGTCAAGTAACAGGCAAGTCACCACATTTTCAGGATGTTCCTTAACTTCTACTCTGTTCCTCTCTCCGGGGAAGAAATCAGGTGACAGACTGGTGGGCACCCGGTCCCTTGTGTCTTGTGTGCATTAAGCCTGCAGTTCCCTGTTCCAGGACTGCTGTGTAGCACCCCATCGCCACCTCGGGTTCTGCTAGAAGAAGGTTGGTGGAATTGGTTGTGGGAGTAGGAACCCTGACATTGCATGAACTCGTGTGTGACCCCAGGCATTGGTAACTTGAAATTTAACTTCCTCACCCAAAAAATGAAGATCAAAACCCATCTTCTGGGGGCACCTGGGTGGCTCAGTGGTTGAGCGGCTGCCTTGGGCTCAGGGCGTGATCCCAGGATCCCAGGATCAAGTCCTTCATTAGGCTTCCTGCGGGGAGCCTGCTTCTCCCTCTGTCTTGTCTCTGCCTCTCTCTTTGTCTCTCATGAATAAACAACTAAAATCTAAAAAAGCAAAACAAAACAACCCATCCTCTGTAGTGTTCTTGTCTTAGAGATTGTAAAGGAAGAAGGACATTCACGGAGATTATAAATGTCACTTGCCAGGAGAGGAGCTGGTCCAAAGTAAGTGTCCAGCCAGTCTGACCTGTGAGGGGCCACACGATCGGGGCTGTGAGGCCAAGTCTGTTCTCAGGGATGAGGCTGGGATCTGGAAAGCGGGGAGCATCCATGCCCTGGCCCACCTGCCAACAGCCATCCCCAGGTTCCTGACAAGGACTCTGTTCCTATCCCATGACTCTAGCACCTGAGCTCAGTTCCTGTCACCAGCTGAGCCTCTCTTAGAGCTGGAGGTCCCCACCATGAGGACCAGAGGACTGCTGGACATCCAGCCACTGAGAGAGCCCTGAGAGGAGCTTGGGAAGAGGAGGACTTGCCACAGAGAAACAAAGAAAAATGAAATGCAGTTTGGGGAAGAAAAAATTGCTTTTCTTCTTCTATAGTCTGGTTCGACACAGGGATAATTGGGGTACACTGGCTATGCCCTTGGGATTTGCGCAAGCATACTATTTAGAATAGAATGCTCATGCAGAGGCCAGCAGCAATTACCATGAGCATTGCTCCATGAGTCAGGAAGAGAGCATTTTTGATTTCTTACTCTAAGTGAATTTCCAGTTGCATTATTTTCAGTTAGATACCACTGCATTGCCAAGCATGCCAAAACTGAGTGGTTTAAAACCATGATTTATTCTTGATTTTTTGAGTCGGCTGGGCTCAGCCAGGTCATTCGTGTGCCGCTTTCTTCTGAGATTTCTGCAGAGAGGATGGATTGCCAAAGATCATGACATCAGATGTGTCTTCATTCACATGTCTGATCCCTTGGTTGGGATGCTGGGCTGCCCAAGGGAACGGCTGAGCTTCTGTCTTCAGTTGGGTGGTCTGACCTCTCATGTGGTTGCTGAGTTCACTGAAAGAGGGAGGGTGTGGTTTGCGGGGAGAAAGGTGGTTCAGGTCTCTAACAGGCTGGGCTGGGAACTGGCACAGAGTCCCTTCCCCACATTGCATTGGTCAAGGCCAGCCCACCTTCATGGAGAAGGGAATATACTCCACCCCCCCCCATGGGATGCCCTCTACAGGTACAACAATGAAGGCAGTTATTTTAACAGTCAGGTTTGCATACAATTATCCAGACTTGATTTCCATCACCTACATGTAGTCCCAAGCAAGCAAAAAGAAAGACAAATATATGTTTAGATCATGAGATAGGATGTACTGAGAACCAGAAGGAGTCAAAACACATGGGACCTAATGGTGTCTTTGACACCCATTAGTGGAGTGGTCTTGCAGGGACAGATGATTTAATTTGACTTATTTTGTTTGTTTCATTTACCTCTAAAACAAATAGAAAAGATTGTTGTTATCTAGAAACGCAGCATTCAGTAGTGGTGAGAGCCACAGGCTCTGGGCTTCCCAGCTTCAAATCCTACTCCCGACACTTCTCTGCTGTGTGACTTTAGAAAAGTTTTTTTTAATTATGATCGGTTGCTTGGTTGGTTTTTAGATTCCTCACCTGTAAAATTGGGGTGGGTAAGAGGTACATCCCTCCTGGGTTTGTGTTAAGGATTGGATGAACTATGCAAGGAAATGCCCGGAACAGTGCCTGGCACACAATGAGCTCACAGTACCTATTAACTGGAGTAAGTGTCCCTAGTCCCTGTTGTCCCTACCGTGGTTGTTGAATTAGCAGCATCCTGCCCCATGAAGGTCCCTGGGACACATCACTGGGGATTGGAGGCTGCCTTGCTGCTTGGGAGGAGCTCACAGTCCTCCCAGGGAGGCAGAGCAGGGTTCCGAGAGTCCAGCAGAGGAGGACGTTGAGCTGGGGGTCCCAAGTGAGATCTGGAATTGGGAGCAGAGGTTGGTTCGGCAGACAAAGGTAGGGAAGGATGATCTGGGCAGATGTAGCAAAATGACCGGGGCCTGAGCAGCGCAAGGGCGAGCACAGGGCAGGAGAGATGGGAGGTGGCAGGGCCAAGGAAGGGGGGCAGGAGAGAAGGCACTGCAGGTGGGGCTGGGGGCTGGCGGCCGCGTCATGCCCACCAAGTGTGCCTTCCTTCCTGGCCCGATGAAACGAGAGCACCCCGAAGACACAGATCCAGGGCTGTTCAAACACGAGATGTCGTTTCATAAATTAAGGGGCAGAATTATACATTTTTATTCCCTACTTAAACATATCTGTCCTTTGGTAGCCACTTTACGTAGAGACGGCTTCATTTAGGCAGATGATTTAGATACCGCTTCTCTAGATGTGAAACGATTGCTCACTGAATTTTCTGGGCTCGATGTTTATGGTTAGATTCTGTAAGTAAGAAATAAGAATGATTCCCCCATGTGAAACGTATACCATGGTGTGTTCTTTTTATAAGATACTTTTAAAAGGTGACTTGGGGAAGGTTTCTTCTTGTCTGAGTTAACTGCATGTCTCTTAGAATAGATGCGATGGGCTCTGAGCTCCCCCAGTCAGAAGTGACCATCCCCCCCAGGCGTTCTTGAAAGATCCCAGCCTTACAGAAGAGACATGCGTGCAGTCAGGTGACTGCACGGCCAGGGTGACAGGTGTCCCAGGGGCTCCGGGAACTGGGGGCAGGCACAGAGGGGGCTCCTTCTCTGTGGGTATGTGAACAGTGGGGGACGTTTGGCCCTGGTGTTCAGTGGAAATCTGGAGTCCACAGGGTCTGGGTCACTGCCAGATATAGAAAAGTGTAAATTGCAGGTGATCCCGTGATGACCCACCGAGGCCAGGACATCTCTCAGCTATTCCAAAACCTTCCAGATGCCTCCTAAAAACCAAAGTCCTGGGACCTCAGAGACAGAGATGAATTCTGGTGACTTCATATGTGAGGCCTCGGGTGTAACAGGAAGAGAAACCAGAAGCAAGAAATTTTAGGATGTGATTTGCTTGCCTCAGAGCCTTGCCTACCTTTTGTGGGTCTCCCAGAATCATCGTCTCTTCTCTCTTGGGGTCAGGGCTACCCATAATCGATGTGTCCCTGCTTGAGAATAAATAGGACATCTACTGAACTGTGACAATTTCCTTCTACCACAGGGGTGCTAGTTCATAGATGTTTCCTTCTCTTCCTCCCTGGAGGTGTTAGAAGATGTTCCCTGGGGGGTGGAAGGGGGTGACCACTGAAATTGGCCTGTGGGGTGGGGGGTTGAGCTGCATATAACATGGGCATCTGCTCCACACGGCTCATCAAAACCAGAATGGGAAATC